TTATATATAATACACATTTACACTTATTATGATGATTTTTCATATATAGTGCAGCCTTGACATTTCTCAAAGTATTATAAAAGTTATATAGAAGGACACGATTGTGAGTAGATAATTATTTAATTTTAACAAAACTAATAATACTTAAAGAAAAGACACAATTTGTGGGTAACTGTGGTGCAACATTAGTTAAATGTCAATTCCAGCTCAAGTGATTGGCTCAAAACACACACACACACACACGCACACACACACACACACACACACACACACACACACACACACACACACACACACACACACACACACACACACACACACACACACACACCTATATGAGCAGAAGTTGGCATAGTTTGAGTGTTTTAAGTGGCCGCCAACAAACTGTCATAGAGAAGAATAGGAGAAGCGAACGGACGGCTTACTGCAGATTTGATAAATCCCGGAGCCACAGAGGCAAAACTCTAACAGAGACCGAGCTTCTGTTCTGCAGCTCACAGACGTTAAAGACGCAAGAACATGAGATGGAGTAATGATGCAGAGGAGCTGCTTTATCCAGAACCTGCATCACTTACAGAGACCATTACAACACTACAGCTGTCTGAGATTTAACACACACACCTGATACACACACACACACACACACACATACACACACATGCAAAAACGCACAAATGCATGCACACACATTTGCGCGCACACACTAAAAACATGCATAAACACACCAACACAAATATACACACACACACTGATGCAAAGTCGCATATACACATGCACACACGCACACACATACATAAACACAAACACACATGCGTAAACACACACACACAGATGCAAAGACGCATATGCACACACATGCATACACACACTTACAGATGCACAAACACATATACACACACCTGCACCAATGCACTAATGCACACACACACATGCATGCGCACACACGCACACACACACGTAAAGATGCATACACACACACACGCACAAACTTACACATGCACGCACACACACATATGCACACAAACATACACAACCACACACTCACACATATGCACAAACACAGACACACACATGCACAAACACACACATGCATGCACACACACACATGCAAAAACACATATACACACACCTGCACAAACGTACTAATGCACGCACACACACACACACACACACACACACACCATACAAACAGAGCAAGTAGTGTTCTCTTACGCATCATCCATGTAGCAGGGGTAGGGCATCTGCTGAGCGTAAACTCCGAGCGTCTGCTGCACCCCCGTCTGGAGTTTAATAATGGCTCGATCCACCATATCCTGCAGGTACACGAATCCTCCACGCACATACCGCAGGTCATTCAGGGGGTTATCACGTGCTGTGGGAGACCACGACCTGAAACACACGCACACACACACACACACACACACTTCAGCACATGCTTGCTGACCATACTTATATGTATATTTTAGTTATATGTGTGTGTCTGTGTGTGCATGTGCGTGTGTGTTTACATGTGTGTTTGGATGTGTGTGTGTGCACGTGTTTGTGTATCTTTACATGTGTTCATCTGTGTGTGTACATCTGCATGCGTGTTTTCATTTGTGTTTATGTTTTTTTGTTTGTATATATGTGTGTGTGAGTTTGTATACATGTTTTTGCGTGAGTGTGCTTACTTGTGTGTTTGAATGTGTAATGTTTACGTCTGTGTGTGTGTCTGCATCTGTGTGTGTGTTTACATGTGTGTTTAAGTGTGTGTGCGCATCTGTGTGTGTTTGTGTGTGTTTAAATGTGTTTTTGAATGTGTGTGTGTGTCTGTTTAAATGTGTGTTTAAGTGTGTGTGTGTTTACATGTGTGTGTGTGTGTGTGTGTGTGTGTGTGTTTACATGTGTGTTAGTGTGTCTG